TTTCTTATTCCTTGGAAAGTAATTGTAAAATCGTAATAGCCGAGTGTTAGCAGCGTAATTTGCTTGTGTCAAGTAAGTTTATTAAATTGTATCGTCGCGTATCGTTTCTAGCGTATCATTCTACGACAGTCGGAATAAACCACTGATTGTGAGACAAGGAACACGTGTCGTACTGATATTCGATATTCCCGTTATCCCTACGCATCCCTATAATATTGTAGGGAGCATGAGTAACTCCATAGTTACTCCCGCAGATGGCGCGATTGGCGCCGATGCCAACCGTTGAGAGAGACCGGGATGCTATAGGGAATTTGTCCCTAGGTACTCCCTGGGGCCTCGAGAGACAAGAGAGAATCAGGAGGTATTCCCCGAGCAAGCCTGACAGACGGTCCAATAATATTATGTGTTTTTATGTATTCATGTATCACTGTTACGTTAATGATTTCAGTTAGTGCATCATTAAAGAATACACCGTCAAATTGTCACTATACCTATCTCTTCTTCCTGTAGCCTCCATTGCAGCTATAATCTCCTTGCATGGAGCCATACACTCCATTTTCCTCGAGTTTAAAGAACAGGGTCAAAACAGACCCGTAGAACAGAATAGACCCGCAGAACAGGGTCAAAACAGACCCGCAGAACAGGGTCAAAACAGACCCGTAGAATAGACGAGACCCGCAGAACAGGGTCAAAAGAGACCCGTTGTAAAGGGTCAGAACAGACCCGTAGAACAGAATAGACCCGCAGAACAGGGTCAAAAGAGACCCGTTGTAAAGGGTCAGAACAGACCCGTAGAACAGAATAGACCCGCAGAACAGGGTCAAAAGAGACCCGTAGAATAGAATATACCCGCACAACAGGGTCAAAAGAGACCCGTTGTAAAGGGTCAGAACAGACCCGTAGAATAGAATAGACCCGCAGAACAGGGTCAAAAGAGACCCGTTGTAAAGGGTCAGAACAGACCCGTAGAACAGAATAGACCCGCAGAACAGGGTCAAAAGAGACCCGTAGAATAGAATATACCCGCACAACAGGGTCAAAAGAGACCCGTTGTAAAGGGTCAGAACAGACCCGTAGAATAGAATAGACCCGCAGAACAGGGTCAAAACAGATCCGTAGAATAGAATATACCCGCACAACAGGGTCAAAAGAGACCCGTTGTAAAGGGTCAGAACAGACCCGTAGAATAGAATAGACCCGCAGAACAGGGTCAAAAGAGACCCGTCGTAAAGGGTCAGAACAGACCCGTAGAATAAAAGAGACCCGCAGAACAGGGTCAAAAGAGACCCGTCGTAAAGGGTCAGAACAGACCCGTAGAATAAAATAGACCCGCAGAACGGGGTCAAAAGAGACCCGTTGTAAAGGGTCAGAACAGACCCGTAGAATAGGGTCAAAATAGACCCGGGACTAACTAACTACTTCCTGATTTCTTATCTAAAATAGTCACTTTTGGTTATCAGGTAATATCAGGTTTTGTAAATCAGGTAATGAAGTAACATAATTAAATCGAAATTAAGGGATAAAATAATAGTAAAACAGTAAAATCACACAACAGGATGTAACAGGGAAAAGATAGTAGTAGTAGTAGTAATAGTATGTGCAATCGGCCGTATATAAATGTAACAAATAGACTACGATACAATACAAGTCACAGTTATTTTAGTTATTTTCTCTCATTATGATTCAGGTCAGGATTCTTTACCGTTATACAGTTTACTGATATGGAAACGCTTTCGTCTTTCTCACTAATAAAATATTATATAATATAATAATAGCATATACTCTACACTCCATATTTTTACAGTTATACCCTACAGCTTAGGGGTTTTTCTACATTTACATGTACTTGTCACTAAAGATATGGGCTATGACACCAAAGATACGGGATAAGCTAAAACATTACTCTACAGTCTAGTCTAGTTTATTTTATCTTACTTTATTTTATTTTATATTTCTTCTAGTCTTTCTTATTTTCATTTTATTCGTACTTTATTTTATTTCATATATTTTACTATACATGTTACTCTACTCTTATTCTATTATTATTTTTATATTTTCTATCTAAGTAAATCTGATACTATAACAAAACTGGTAGTACCTTCACTTTCAATTATTTTGATTTTATGTTTACATATTATATTTGAATTCATGCTGGAGCAGATGAATCATCTTCCAAGCTTGTGCTGCTGTCACTATAACTATCTCTTCTTCCTATAGCCTCCATTGCAGCTATAATCTCCTTGCATGGAGACATACTCTCCATTTTCCTCGAGTTTAAAGAACAGGGTCAAAACAGACCCGTAGAATGGAATAGACCCGCAGAACAGGGTCAAAAGAGACCCGTTGTAAAGGGTCAGAACAGACCCGTAGAACAGAATAGACCCGCAGAACAGGGTCAAAAGAGACCCGTTGTAAAGGGTCAAAACAGACCCGTAGAACAGAATAGACCCGCAGAACAGGGTCAAAAGAGACCCGTTGTAAAGGGTCAGAACAGACCCGTAGAACAGAATAGACCCGCAGAACAGGGTCAAAAGAGACCCGTAGAATAGAATATACCCGCACAACAGGGTCAAAAGAGACCCGTTGTAAAGGGTCAGAACAGACCCGTAGAATAGAATAGACCCGCAGAACAGGGTCAAAAGAGACCCGTTGTAAAGGGTCAGAACAGACCCGTAGAATAGAATAGACCCGCATAACAGGGTCAAAAGACACCCGTTGTTAAGGGTCAGAACAGACCCGTAGAACAGAATAGACCCGCAGAACAGGGTCAAAAGAGACCCGTAGAATAGAATATACCCGCACAACAGGGTCAAAAGAGACCCGTTGTAAAGGGTCAGAACAGACCCGTAGAATAGAATAGACCCGCAGAACAGGGTCAAAAGAGACCCGTTGTAAAGGGTCAGAACAGACCCGTAGAACAGAATAGACCCGCAGAACAGAGTCAAAAGAGACCCGTTGTAAAGGGTCAAACAAAACAGACCCGTTGTAAAAGGTCAAAACAGACCCATAGAACAGAATAGACCCGCAGAACAGGGTCAAAACAGACCCGTAGAATAGAATATACCCGCACAACAGGGTCAAAAGAGACCCGTTGTAAAGGGTCAGAACAGACCCGTAGAATAGAATAGACCCGCAGAACAGGGTCAAAAGAGACCCGTTGTAAAGGGTCAGAACAGACCCGTAGAATAGGGTCAAAATAGACCCGGGACTAACTAACTACTTCCTGATTTCTTATCTAAAATAGTCACTTTTGGTTATCAGGTAATATCAGATTTTGTAAATCAGGTAATGAAGTAACATAATTAAATCGAAATCAAGGGATAAAATAATAGTAAAACAGTAAAATCACACAACAGGATGTAACAGGGAAAAGATAGTAGTAGTAGTAGTAGTAATAGTATGTGCAATCGGCCGTATATAAATGTAACAAATAGACTACGATACAATACAAGTCACAGTTATTTTAGTTATTTTCTCTCATTATGAATCAGGTCAGGATTCTTTACCGTTATACAGTTTACTGATATGGAAACGCTTTCGTCTTTCTCACTAATAAAATATTATATAATATAATAATAGCATATACTCTACACTCCATATTTTTACAGTTATACCCTACAGCTTAGGGGTTTTTCTACATTTACATGTACTTGTCACTAAAGATATGGGCTATGACACCAAAGATACGGGATAAGCTAAAACATTACTCTACAGTCTAGTCTAGTTTATTTTATCTTACTTTATTCTATTTCAATATTTCTTCTAGTCTTTCTTATTTTTCATTTTATTGTACTTTATTTTATATATTTTACTATACAGTTTCCCCTATTTTTATTTTATATTTTATTTTTAAGTAAACCTGATACTATAACAAAATTGGTAGTACCTTTTCTTTCATCTATTTTGATTTTATGTTTACATATTATATTTGAATTCATGCTGGAGCAGATGAATCATCTTCCAAGCTTGTGCTGCTGTCACTATACCTATCTCTTCTTCCTATAGCCTCCATTGCAGCTATAATCTCCTTGCATGGAGACATACTCTCCATTTTCCTCGAGTTTAAAGAACAGGGTCAAAACAGACCCGTAGAAAAGGGTCAAAACAGACCCGTAGAATGGAATAGACCCGCAGAACAGGGTCAAAAGAGACCCGTTGTAAAGGGTCAGAACAGACCCGTAGAATGGAATAGACCCGCAGAACAGGGCCAAAAGAGACCCGTTGTAAAGGGTCAAAACAGACCCGTAGAATAGAATAGACCCGCAGAACAGGGTCAAAAAAGACCCGCCGAACAGGGTCAAAAGAGACCCGTAGAACAGAATAGACCCGCAGAACAGGGTCAAAAGAGACCCGTTGTAAAGGGTCAAAACTGACCCGTAGAATAGAATAAACCCGCAGAACAGGGTCAAAACAGACCCGCAGAACAGGGACAAAATAGACCCCTAGAAAAGGGTCAAAATAGACCCTTAGGGTCGATATAGACCCCTAGAACAGGGTCAAAATAGACCCGTAGAGCAGGGTCGAAATAGACCCTTAGAACCGGGTCAAAATAGACCCTTTGGGTCGAAATAGACCCGTAGAACAGGGTCAAAATAGACCCCTACAAGTTTACTGTATATCGATATACACGTGTCAAGACGACATCTACCACAAAACGCCCAAGTTTGTCGAGAAACAATTCACCCCTTTGCACCCTAGACGGCGCCTCTATTAATTTAGATCGAAAACTAATCTCATAATATGTCAGTAATTTTCGATAAAGGACGGTGGCTTTTGTTTTTTTACAAATTGTAACCCCCAAAGACCCAACACCTCAAGCTAGGGGATTTAGGTCCGGGGGAGTTAGGCCTGTGGCGTCGCCTCCCATGCTCGCCACCAGAGGTGTCCAGAGGAGTCGCGCTCTGACAAGCGATCGATTATGTGTTTTGATGTATTCATGTATCAGGGTTACGTTAATGATTTCAGTTAGTGCATCATTGAAGAATACACCGTCAAATTGTATGACCGTCAGTGGACAATGTCGACCGGCTCCACTAATTCCGTGCGTTCTAGACACGTCGCAGTTATACGATTATTGTGTGAAAATTCTGTTGAAACTTGATAACACACTACCAGCGGACACTTTAGCCGGCCATCGTGACCGATTTTCGAAACAATTCTATGAACCGAAGAAGTTGTACAACACCGTAAAACAAAGACAGTATTTTAAGCATGTTATAACGACGCCTGCGTTACCCGAGGTAAGATTTTTGGAATTAAATTTATTTTTAAACAGAATTTAGTGATTCGAAGGAATGGTTTCTACCATAAAATGCTCATAAAAGCTGTTAAATTTCTTTATCGATTTACCCCATGTATAATGTTTATCGAAAAATCCACCAAACTTTTTGATACAATCCGAGTTACGAACGTACGCGACGCCAAGGGTGGTATCGCCACCAGAAGAATCTTTAGCGGAAAGGTAAACTTAAATAAAGTGCGAATAGAAAATGTTCATACTAATTAGAAAAATGATCGCTTATTACTCTTACGCGATAGAAGATTATTAATTGTTCCGAACATATGTATTTTAGAGAAAGTCCCATCGATCATTTACAGCAAGAAAATAGTCGTCAGAGACAAGAATCGCATCATCTACCGATGGATCATCAACGAATCATGGAAGAGCTTCAGAGTCGTGTCATGCAACTTGAATCGGGTTTGCTTATTAAGGTAAAAACGTTTTAATTAATCATTAACATTATGGTTTAGAAAAACAGTCTATGTAACAAGTTGTTTTTATTTTTTAGCGCAATGAAATTGAAGAAGAAAAACAGGTAAATGAGGACTCTCTTAAACAAAAAGCAGACACGATGGCGAAAGTTGATGAAAGCGAAGGTTGGTGCATACATACGTGTACATTTATATCGCAATCTAATATAACTTCTCTGTTATGTTTTTGTAGAAAAGTATTTTGTTTTGGAAGAGAAATTTCAGAAATTGAAAGATGTATATGCAAAATGAAGAGAAGAACATATCAGTTTAATCAGGAAGGTAGGAATATTGTAATTTTCATAGTTTTTAATATCATAAGAAAATATTCATGCTCGTTATGTGTATCCTCGTATGTAACAGAAAGCCGAAGTGGAGAAACAAATTGGGTTATTAAAAATGTCAGAAGAAAAATCGGAACGTCGAACCGTTTTTAGAGTTAATAGAAGGTGAAGATATAACTGAACAGGAAGCTCGAAAAGCTATCGAAGGACAAGAGGATTTGGACGATATAAAAGAAGAAGTAAATACCACGAAAGGTGAAAATTTGGTTAATACCTTTCTTTTACTAGATTTACGGTTATATTTTATTTTTATTTCGTTCCGGTAAAAGTGTAATATTTTAGGCGTTGATTAGCAAAAATGATTTTATAACTTGTAAAAAAACGGCTTTAGGGTCAAAATAGACCCGCAGAACAGGGTCAAAAC